GGATTTACTTACTGGCGCCACATGTCTCCCCATCTCACAGTAGAGTTGGCCTTCTTGAGGTACCTTTGTGTTTAAGAGATAGAAACCCCCCCCCCCTCTCTCTCTCTCTCTCTCTCTCTCTCTCTGTCTCTTTGTCTCTCTCTCTCTCTCTCTCTATATATATATATATATATATATATATATATAGAGAGAGAGAGAGAGAGAGAGAGACGGACAGAGAGAGAGAGAGACAGACAGACAGAGAGAGAGATAGTTAGCACGTTGTGTTGAGGTTTACCTGTCGTTTTGAAGGCACTAGAATGAATATTCACTCGAATACTTAAGGAATATTCCCTCAGGGTTCCGGGTCTGACGTGACGAGTCTGTTCAACGGATCAACGATCTGCTTTCAAAGGGTTACTGATTGTGCACCCCGGATCCATCTTGCATTAGGACATTGTTATATGTCTTTCAGTACATACTTGCATTTATTATTAGGTAACTATAAAAAGCATTTAAAAATAAAATAAAATGGGATCCCAGTATGGGAGAGGAGCTTGAGACACCGCCTCTTAGAAAACTTACCGTAAAGTCGACTAATAGTTTACTGAGACTGGATGTGTTAGACCGAAAGGTGCAGATATTGCATCCTTTGACCTCTCATATCGACTTTTGTTTTATGATTTCTCTAGGGCATCCTCCTTTGTCCAGTCCGTTATGAGAGCAGAATGAACATATTACAGTTTTTAGGAGATTAACTTGGAAACTGTTTGCCCCAATCTAAATTCTTTAAACACATCGCGATTATGAGAAGAATTCGTCGTGACATTAGGAACATGGGTTGGATAGAGAAGAAGGGGGGGGGGGGGGGGGAAGAGACAAGATAAAAGATGTCAGATTTGTTTGTTTTCATGAAGGTGCATCTGTGTAAAACAGGATTATTGGACATCTGGCTGAATACTTAGAAAGACATGAGAATGAACGTCACTTGGCGTAAATGTTATGATGATTGATGTCTTTACATATGCCCATCAGTGATGATGAGAAAACGATCCTTCTGACACCATTGGCGCTTCAGTCATATGGTTCTGGACTTTCTGGCAGGCAGGTGTTCAACTTACCACAGATCCCTGTCCGGCTCTCTAGCGTAGTTGGCTAAACCGGATTGCGCGGTGACCGGGTGACGAACTCATTGTGGTCCGGGTTCACTCCCGGGAGTAGGCAGAAAAGCCATATTTCTCCCAGATTTACGGTATTTACAATGGAATCAAGGCCGAAAGGTTGCGATATCCATAATACCGAGCCTAAGGGTTAACAACTCATGGCTTCTGGATACTAAAACAAACGAACCACAGATCCCTATGGTGCTCTTTGTTACCTCAGTTAGTCTTACAGGTCTGTAAATGTGTTATTAACTGTATGAGACAGTAAGCGTTGGAGATACATTGCTGCCACCCTTCATCGTGGAGACGACACTTGATTATTTGATGAACCATAGATTGGACGCATTCACCCACAGTACTGAATCCACCAGGGATGAAGTCGCCATCCTAATGTTGAGGGACTACAGAGTCCTTGCTTGAACCTCAACAGTAACTCGTGTCTTCAGTAAGGGCCGATGTCCTGTCAGGACCCAGATGTTCCCAGAGGTCTTGCTGTCTTGTCTGTACTCACATCAGCTGTTTCTGTTCGTATAGTTCATCATTTGGTCTTGGTAATCATGGCTGACCACAGCCTTCTGTTACATGTGCTGTCAGTTTTTGATACACATAACCATCGACAAAACTACCCTTTTTTTCTTTTTCTTCGTACTTACAGGTGGTAAACCCAGGCCTGACTTTTGATTGTTCGTCCACTTCAGGATTTTGGTCTTGTTCCCGGTCTTGAGTTTTCCATGCGCACCCGTATTACAGATCTGGCTTATTTGTGTGCAGGCAGTTGGTTCTTCGCCTCAGGCAGATGCAGTCCAAAAAAACGGAGCTACGAAATGCGTGCTCAGCTATCAATGCCGCCTGCTACTGGCACAATCTGTATTGGAACTCAAAAGCTGGCTGCTGAAGATGGCGGACTGTGCGCTTACGTGAATATTGCACATCCTGTGATATCGATTCCTAAGTCAGCCCAACTCATACTGGATACAGATATGGTTCTATGCCATGATTTCAAACTGTCCGGTACCTTTCTTGGTTTTCCTCCGAGTGTCTTGCCCTAAACTTTCCCTTCGTTACGACTTATGCCAGTCCCCCCCCCCCCCCCCCCCCCCTTTTCGTGACGTCGGTGATTATGTATGTCACCCCTGACATTTAAACAGGTGACTAACTTTCTTTAGCATCACCATCAAGTGCCTTGCCATCTGGCATGGGCGATCATGCCTCCCCACAATCTGCCATCAGCAACTGCGTGTATCAGTTTGTGTGTTGTCACCCCTCCAGGTCATGTCAAAAGGCTGTCTAAAATCTTCTCGCGCTGTCTTCTTCTGTCTCTCTTTCTACAAATCTTTCCAGTGGTCACAATATGTTCCATTTTCCCTATTCTTAAAGCATACACTGCAGATTTTCTCATAAATTAATTATGTCAAGATATATGAGGCGAGGTGACTAGTTTTCATTTCTAGCGTGACTCCTAAAAAATGAATAGGCAGTAATAAACCTTACCAGGTGCTCATTTGATGAAGTTTGAACAGCACAAGAGCCACCAAAATCAGTCTGGGAAGACTGATGCGGAAGGGATGATCCGTGGATCTGTAAGTAAATCAAATAAAGGGCCTTTTCACTCCACTGGCTCATGGTTCATATGATGGTGGGCCCACATTTATAGAGACAAATCAACAGTCGATGGGTGTTTGGTCAGCATTAGGTCGGTTGCCATCACTTCTTAGGATATATTCCCTGGTGCTCGTTTTAGGCGGGTCTACTTTGGTGCCAAGGACGTTATATGATAAGCTTCTGCCTCGAACCCGAGACCACCATGCCGACAGGCTAGCGTCCAGCTATTGCGCTAGTCTGCTGGCTCAAAGGCTGTGGTCGACGCTCAACGCTTAGAGGCAAAACAGATATTATCAGACTGCAACTGGCATCGTTGGTGTTGGAGCGCTCTTCTGACTATCGGTAGTTCTTAGACCGAGTCAGCTTGTTTAGGTGATAGGCGTTTAGACAGATATAAAGGTCGCCGCCACCCCCCTCCCCCCCCCCCCCCCCCCCCCTCGTCTCTCTCTCTCTCTCTCTCTCTCTCTCTCTCTCTTTCTCTCTCTCTCTCTCTCTCTCTCTCTCTCTCTCTCTCATTATATAGTACTAAATCTATTGCCTTCTCTTCCATCTCATCTGTCTTTTACACACGCGCGCACACACACCTGCGTGCTTTGTTTATGAGGTTAGTTGCGTATCCTTTACAGGACGCTGCAGAACCAACCCCAACGGCCCCTAGCTGTTGTGTGGTTTTTCTAGGCAAATTTACGTCCTGTAGTTTGCCATTGCTTGCTGGACGGTCGGCTTTCTTGATACCAGTCGAAACCAACGCAAGTCACATGGCCCGCAGCTGGGATCGATCCTGGCATTACGAAGCGTTCGCATCGAGTTAGCCACAGAGCCGACATGCTCCTTTTAAAAAAAGTTCTCTTCCTCTGTACCTCTCGCTCCTACCATTCTCTCTGCACCTATCTCTCTTCCTCTTTCATAGAAAAACCGCGCGCGCGCACACACATACACACGGGCCTGCGTGCTTAATTACCACTTATGACACTGAAAATAAAATTATCTTTCTTTATTCTTCTGTTTCTCCTTTCACCCCACCCCGCCCCACTCTTTCAGTCTCCTTCATTCATTCGTTCATTTATTTGTTTATTCATTAACTCATTCAATCACAGAATTAGAGAGAATGTGAGACATGTCCGACTTAATTAGCTTCTTGTCCACGAAGGTAACGACAGCTCTCAGATACTCATCTGCTCTAAACCCCCCACCCTCCAGTGTCTCCCTGCTCCTACCTCACTGTGGCCGTTGATTAATTCTCTCGGGTTCCTTTGACAATTATCGTCATTAACCTCGTCATTCTTGGTATTCGTATCGCTTGTGTACAGTAGTATTTTGTTTGTAATATTTGGTTTAGAATTGTTATACATGTTCTAAGGGCGAGGTTATTAAGTGGTCTTGTTTAAATATGCAATAATAATAATTAGTATGTTTAATGGCAAAAATGTAATAATATATTTCAAATAATATAGAATATATAAACAGCTACTTTAAAAAAAAAAAGGAGTTTATGTACACTTTTGTTTAAATTGCCATTTGTGTGATCTGTATGTGTGTGATGGGCGAGATGAGGCGGCACCGTTAACCCCTACAAATTATTGTGATATATGATATCGCTGTTGATAACACAGGTGATTCACACATGTTCTCCGTTGCTGCTGATCTACTGCTGTTCTGCCTGTGATACACCATGGCATTTAGGCATCTTGAGTTCCCTATCTACTTGTCGAAATCTGAAGGAAGACAAATGACAATGCTAGTAATGTTAGTTCATTTGTCTCCCCTCTGTGTGCTTTGTTTTAACATCATTTTCAAGTCTCTTACCTACCGGCGTGGACGATCATACTTCTTCACAAACTGCGATTTCTCTAACAGCATGTATCAGTTGATGTGCTTACAACTCTCGATGCCGTGACGAAAAGCTCTCAGAACCTTCTCCCGCTGATTTCCCCCCCCCCCCCCATTTCCATTCCTTCTTCCTTTTCGTGACGTCGGTGATTATGTCTGTCTCCCCTGACATTTAAACAGGTGACTAACTTTCTTTAGCATCGCCATCATGGCATGGGCGATCATGCCTCCCCACAATCTGCCATCAGCAACTGCGTGTATCAGTTCATGTGCTGACACCCCTCCATGACATGCCAAAAGACTGTCAAGAATCTTCTCGCGCTGTCTTCCTCTGTCTCTCTTTCTACAAATCTTTCCAGTGGTCACAATATGTTCCATTTTCCCTATTCTTAAAGCATACACTGCAGATTTTCTCATAAATTAATTATGTCAAGATATATGAGGCGAGGTGACTAGTTTTCATTTCTAGCGTGACTCCTAAAAACTTCATAGACAGTAATAAACCTTATCAGGTGCTCATTTGATGAAGTTTGAACAGCACAAGAGCCACCACAATCACAGTCTGGGAAGACTGACGCGGATACCGTGACGAAAAGCTCTCAGAACCTTCTCCCGCTGACTTCCCCTGTATCTGATTTCAAGTCATCACTTGTTTCGGTTTATTCTCACGGAACCAACAATTCTCTAGCCTTTTTCTCATGTTTGTGATCAGTTGTCTTCTTGCCTTCGCCCCTTTCAAAGCATCCTGGTTACTTATTTTTGGTTGTCTAAAGAATTTTGTAAAAGTCGTCTGTAAAGTTTCAAGAATTTTTTGTTTGTTTTTGTTTGTTTGGTTGTTAACTTAACTTTTTTGATTCTGAATAGCGTGTAAGAATTATTTGTATAACCTCTAGTGATAGGGATTTCTTTGCATAAAATGTTCATTGAAAACAATGCGGTTGTGCATGTTTTACCTAGTCTGTTTATGATGTTTGTTGTAATTGTTCATTATTAGTTAATACAAATTTTGAAGTAATGTGTCCGACGAGAGACACCTGTATATGCCAGGAAATAAATTGTGCTATAATAGTGTGTCTTCATTGTTTTAAATAAATACATAATGGCACAAGGATGGTGACTCATAGGTGCTCCGTTTTACTTCTGACTCAAACTCAGAAGAATCTCAGCTCAGTGCACGAACTCCGTAGCACAGGCGAGGATCCTGCAATACTTTAGGTAGATTTTTAAATCCAAATTTTGCCTGGGCAGCGTCGTTAGGCTACTAATTTTCTATTTCCAACTGCCAAGGGGTTTTTTACGTGTGCAAAACACACACGGGCGTCCGATCTTACTACCCAAAGACCAGGAGAAATTACTAGAAGTCAACGTAAAACCCGGCTTGAACCCGGCACCTCCAGCAGCCCACAAGTATAGATCGACAAAGAGGCTAACTGTTGGTGATAACTCCCCGTTTGAGTTCCATTTGTCCATTGTGTTGGGGAGTGGTAGGTGGGGGGGGGGGGGGAAGGGGTAGCCTGAACTACTCATATCAACGACACATTCTGCAAAGCAACCGTTTCCAGAAAAGAGCGTCACACATAAAAAGTTGCACACTTTCGTCTAGGAGACAGTGTCGAATGCGAGCCAGTTTTCGCCACGGTGTGTAAAGACGGGGAAAGATGGCCTCTCATAACACCCCTACAACATAGAACAGCCCGTGAGAACCGCCACAAAATCTCACAGCCGAACGAGAGGGGGAGACTTTCGTTAGTAGTATCTGAAAGCCTGCTTAAGTTGTAAAATATCGTATCGCATGCTTCCTCATTTGCTTGGCACTAGGAGCTTAACTGAATACAGCGACCTGCACAAAGAAATAGTAAATCCGGTATGACCGGCGATTTTTTTTTTTCCTTCTTTAATTACATCAGGTAATAAATATTATTGCGGTGACTTTGTTGATATGGCTAGTTATGTCTTTTTTCGTAACGTCTCTCGCTCTCTCTCTCTCTCTCTCTCTCCCTCTCTCTCACTCACACAAACTCTCTCTCACTCTTTCTTTCCGGCTCGCTCGTTGTGTCCAAATGAGGATGGACTATAGATCCAGTGTTTTTATTCATTAAAAACACAACAAACAAAGCCCGGGTTCTGTTATCCTCTCAAATCATACTAATGGCCAGTTAGCTCTCTCTCTCTCTCTCTCTCTCTCTCTCTCTCTCTCTCTCTCTCTCTCTCTCTCTCTCTCTCTCTCTCCTGTAATTTGTCTTTATTTCTCTATATCTATCTCTTACCGAACATAAGCTCAAGCTTAAAGCGTTCGTCCACCTTGTGTCTTTTAGTTAGCATGGGTTACTACATTCTTCTTTAGTTTTCACTATAATTGAGAGTTCGTATTCTCTTACTTATTCGCATAGACCAGCGGCTCTCAACCTGTGGGTATGACCCTTTTGGGGGTCGAACGACCCTTTCACAGGGGTCGCCTAACACCATCGGAAAACGTATATTCATTGAAATTATGAAGTAGCAACGAAAACAATTTTATGACTGGGGGTCACCACAACTTGAGGAACTGTAATAAAAGATTGAGGTATTAGAAAGGTTGAAAACCACTGGCATAGATACGTGTACTTTTGTTCGTCCGCTTTGTGCCCCCCTTCCCCCCTTCCCCCCCCCCCCGTCTGTCCATCCACTTATCCACACACCACCATTGTTTTTAGTCAGCCTCTTTGTGTTGCTGTAGCATACAGTTGTCTAGATGTTGGCCGCTGGTAATGACTGACCACCGTACGGTGCCCGTCGCCGTGCTCGTTAGCGGCTGGCCTTACCTGCTGCAGGCAGCTCAGGTAATGATCTAGTGGCGCTGTGGTCGGATTATCTCTTGTCAGATCGTGTCTTCTCGATTATCGCCTTGTTTTCAGTGTGGTCTCTCTCTCTCTCTCTCTCTCTCTCTCTCTCTCTCTCTCTCTCTCTCTCTCTCTCTCTCTCTCTCTCTCTCTCTCTCTCTCTCATATTCCCTTGTTTTTAGAGTGTGGTCTCTCTTTCTCCCTTAACTATCTCTCTGTTTTCCTCTCTGATTGCTACTTTTTTTTTTCATTTACCCCAAATGAAATTCCGGAGTTTCTAGGAAAGTCCAGTATACTAGGGGTGTTATGGGTAAGTCGTTGTCTCTGAAGCTTTCATGGCTGATATAGATAGATCCTAACCCTAATTTTAAGCTATAACACCCCCAGAATATTGAACTTTCCCAGAAAATCCAGGATTTTTTTGGGTGAAATAAAAACTAAGTACCCATTGATTATCCCATTGATTTCAGTGCTCTCTCTCTCTCTCTCTCTCTCTCTCCGTTCTCTCTCTCTCTCTCTCTCTCCGTTCTCTCTCTCTCTCTCTCTCTCTCTCTCTCTCTCTCTCTCTCTCTCTCTCCGTTTATTACCTTGTTTTCAGCATATTTTTCTCTCCCAGTCGCTTCTCCGCTCTCCATCTTTTCTCTTAGTCTCTCTCTCTTCTCTCTCTCTTTCTGAGTCTCCGTTTATTACCTTGTTTTCAGCATATTCTCTCTTCCAGTCGCTTCCCCGCTTTCCATCTTTTCTTCTCTCTCTCTCTTCTCTCTCTTCTTCTCTCTTCTCTCTCTCTCTCTCTCTCTCTCTCTCTCTCTCTCTCCGTGTGTGTATGTGTCTGTGTGAGTCTCCGTTTATTACCTTGTTTTCAGCATATTCTTCTCTTCCCCAGTCGCTTCTTCTTCCTTCTCTTCTTCTCCTCTCTTTTTCTCTCACATTCTCCCCCCCCCTTTTCTTCCCCCGAGTCTCCGTTTATCCTCCTTCTTCAGCATATTCTTCTCCTCCCCAGTCACTTCCTTCCTCTCTTCTCTCTCTCTCTCTCTCTCTCTCTTCTTTCTCTCTTCTCTCTCTCTCTCTCTCTCTCTCTCTCTCTCTCTCTCTCTCTCTCTGAGTCTCTGTTTATTACTTGGTTTCAGCATATTCTTCTCTCACAGTCACTTCCCCGCTCTCTATCCTCTCTCTCTCTATCCCTCTCTCTCTCTCTCTCTCTCTCCTCTCTCTCACCACAGCCCACCTTATTTCCAACGTTCCCTTATGACGTCTAAACATTTGACCTCATTCTAGTCATACCTGTTCAGCGGTGGGAATGATTTTATTTAGGGTTACTTTCTGCTTTGACCTGAATACCTTCTGTTGGTGCTACAGTGCCACATTGTGTTTGCTGTTCTTTATCTACTTTCTGCTTATTTATCAGTTTGTCAGTCTCTCTTGTTCTGGTCTGTCCTCATCTTACCTGGAAGTTGTCTGAATTGTCTGGTTTAGGTCTGTCTGTGCTGTATATCAGCTTGTCTGATTTTTCGATTGGTCGGTCAGTGTTTCTGATTTTGTCAGGATAGTCGATTGATTGATTTGCTAATCTGTCAGGTTCTTTGGCGAAGCGACTGCCCTCCTAACGTGTCTTACTGGCTCCCTATTTGATCTGCGAGCCTCTTTGGCTGATCCACTGTTCTATCTGAAAGCTTGTATGACTTCTCAATTTAGTTTCTGTTCTGTTTGTTTGGCTGGTCTCCTGAGCGTCTATATGTGAGCTAATTGACTGGTCGGTCTGATCGATTTGTATATCAGCATGTCTGACTGTCGGACTTTTCTGTTAGCTTGTTGCATTGACAACTGAATTATCTATGTATCAGCTCTTGGCAGGTCAGTATATCTGTCCTCCACCAGCTTGTGTAAGCGGCCGACTAGTTTTGTCTATATATAAGCTTGCTGTCTGATTGTCTAATTGTCAGCTTAAAAGCACTGAAGATTGTTTTAGCAATGTACCTGGAGCGAAGGCTACTTGCTGATCACAGTGTTTACAAACAGTGATTTCCAACCTTTTTCAGGTGGCGCATCCACTCTCCTCATCCACTGTAACAAAGTGTGATTAAAAAGAGGGGGAGAACATTTAAAAAAATCCCATGTATTGTTAATGTTAACAATAACGTGGAGAAAAACAAGTGCACAGTTCAGAGTGTTAAATAACAAAAGAAACAATCACCAGCTGGTAAGATAGTGTAGAAATATCCATGTGACGCTATGTTTCTTCTGATCACTCTGCACATCAAGCTGGCAATGATGTTTTGTTTTCATGACTGTTGAAGCTGAAAATCCTAATTATTACAAGCGCAAATGCACCCAAATTCATAAATGCTTTGCACCCCTCTCCATCCTTTCCCACTACTGGAGACTACTGTTCTAAGAACCTGATCATACCGTTGATGGATTATGGACTTTGACTGATTCCTGTATCAGGGAGTCAGCTGTGACTGCTCACTGTATCGAGTCAGCTGATGAGGCTTTTACACAATGAAGCCACGCTGGTGATTCCAGGGTGCACAAGAAATACCCCATTATGTGTGTGTAATATAACTTTACTGTGCCGACTGTGCAGACTTGCTCAAAGTGCTGTAAGCTAAGCCGTACATCAGCGTGTCCGCAAACAAACAACATCTGAAAATGAAGTCACAATAGATTTGTGCTGTCGCAATCTCTTCTAATGGTGGCAACAGTAGAACCAGAAATCTATCGATAGTCCTTGTCTATATTTGGATGTCCAAACAGGATATTTTTGTCACGCATTCTTGCTGGTCATTTCCTTATTTAAAACCTGCCATTGTTAACGCTTCATTATCATAATATTGTTTTTCTGACTTCCAACTTCTGTCAGCTGCCCGTTTGATATTATTTCACGTGGGTTTTTCGTGTTGTCTCTTAAGTATCTTCTCAATATTTTCTCATGCAGTCTGTATTCTTACTTATTAACCATGTCGACCTTGCCGCATCCTCGACTTTCTTCTTCTTCTTCTTCTTCTTCTTCTTCTTCTTCTCCTAGTCCTCCTCCTCCTGCTGCTGCTGCAGCAGACCAAAATCCCCATATGAAAGGCCGGCCCTCAACCAACACGCAAAATCGTCTTATCTTTTGACTGTCGCATGAAGCTCTCACGCCATGTCTTCCCTATTATTTTTATCTCGCTTTCTAGCTTCATTCTAGCTGTATTTTCCCGGCCTGTTTTCTATTGACCCTTGGATCCCAGTGCAAACACAGTCTAATTGTATTGTTATCATGTTTTCTCAGTGCGTGTCCTTTCCATCACCAGTGGTCTGGCGCTCCCCGTCCCGCACTTAACCACTTGATTCGCATGATTTTTGATTAGTTTATTTCCCAAAGATCTATGTTGATGATTATATTGTACTGTAATTCTTGCCAGTCTGTGTAGGCACCAGTAATTGAATGTTTGTTGTTTGTTAATTGTCTTAGTTGTTGTGCCTAATTTAACCTGTTGATAAAAGTAGTAGCTCGTCCCTCTCTCTCTTACTCTCTCTCTCTCTTACTCTCTCTCTCTCTCTCTCTCTCTCTCTCTCTCTCTCTCTCTCTCTCTCTCTCTCTCTCACAAACACACGTAAATATATACGCACACACACACACACTCCGTTCAGCTTTATTATAAAGTGATAATTGGGATATTCGGTCGTTTTTTGTATCGCTTGTACGATATGCTTGTTCATCTCCCACTCTGCCTACAGTGTTCTTGTGTCGTGTAGTCACTAGTTAGATATGGTAGCATGAGGGACAGATATCTAAGGCCGGATCAATGTCGACATGTCAGCATGAGGGACAGATATCTAAGGCCGGATCAATGTCGATATGTCAGCATGAGGGACAGATATCTAAGGCCGGATCAATGTCGACATGTCAGCATGAGGGACAGATATCTAAGGCCGGATCAATGTCGACATGTCAGCATGAGGGACAGATATCTAAGGCCGGATCAATGTCGACATGTCAGCATGAGGGACAGATATCTAAGGCCGGATCAATGTCGACATGTCAGCATGAGGGACAGATATCTAAGGCCGGATCACTGTCGACATGTCAGCATGAGGGACAGATATCTAAGGCCGGATCAATGTCGACATGTCAGCATGAGGGACAGATATCTAAGACCGGATCAATGTCGACATGTCAGCATGAGGGACAGATATCTAAGGCCGGATCAATGTCGACATGTCAGCATGAGGGACAGATATCTAAGGCCGGATCAATGTCGACATGTCAGCATGAGGGACAGATATCTAAGGCCGGATCAATGTCGACATGTCAGCATGAGGGACAGATATCTAAGACCGGATCAATGTCGACACATCTGTGTGCACAACCCTTGCTGAGAACTATAGTTTATCTACGGGAGAGATTACGGTATTGTTGACATGGGGTACAGCGCTGTAGCAGGACCATCATAACATGAGTGTCAGGGGGTTAACGATTACAATTGTAATGTATAAAATAATAAATGCTTAGATTGTCAAGCCGACTTAAATACATTTTTACAGACACAGTCACATCGTCTCCGTTCTCTTTTGTCTCTTTTCTCTTTTCATTCTTTGTTCTGCTGTACTCTTTTATTCCCTTTTCTGTTTTCTTCTTGTCTCTGTATCTCTTCTCTGCTTCTTTTCTCTTCCTTGTCCTCTGTTTGTCAGTCTGCTGTCTATCTTCTCTCTGCCTGTGTCTCTCTCCATGTCTCCTTTTTTTTGTTCTGTCTATTTCCATTCTCTCTCTTTCCTACTCTCGACCATGGTAAGGCTTCAGGCTTGCCCTTCACATGCTATAGTTGCAGTGTACATGTTTTGTTTTCTCCCCTAGCTCAAATTGAAGTGATTCCATGTAAAGTGTGTGGAGACAAGTCCTCGGGCGTCCATTATGGCGTCATCACGTGTGAGGGATGTAAGGTATGTGGTCATGAATGTTGACTGTGTTGTCCTACTCATAGTTCATCCACTACTGGTTACTTATGTAAGAATCATCATAGCACACCTGGCGTACCCATAGATGCTCTGTATCCCGCAGCAAAAGTTTGATTGTGTGCTGATTGTTCCAGTAGCACATAGTTGTACACATGTCTCCTTACTCTTCCTCTGATAAATTATTTGTTGCTGAATCCACTTTAAATTCTACGTTCACACTACCTCAACTATGCCCCAACCCCCAATCTAAGGTCCGATCTTCCTGAAACATTTGTTCGTACATGGTCTTTAGAATATTTATTTTGTTAGTTTTGGGTGTTCGTGCTTCTGTCCTTCAGATGGTTCATGTTTTTGCACTCCTGCATCCTACTGTGTGTTGGCACCTTTCTGAACTCTGACCAGACGATAGTGTTTAATTGTGCTATGTGAATTACAGGCGATGGCGAGTGGGACCAACAAAACCTACCTGTGTTAAGAGAAGTCTGCGACATTTAGAGCATAAGATTTCAGAACTGTAGTTGCCATCACATGTATTTAGTGTCCTTCATCTCAGACGCTCAGCTCTCAACCTTTCTGTGGTCATTTTCCCTTTAATCCCATTCCCTTCCTGATTATTCTGCTCCACTCAACATGGTCCTTGGCATTTTGTTCCCTCTAACTCAGTACTGGTATCATTCATGTCCACCTTGCACGCATCGTTATATCGCAATAGAGGCCGACCTGGATATCTTCTGTTCATCTGTAATTCGCATTAGAGGTTGCCCAGTTGACAGGGACTTATAACCCATAACTACTGCCTCTTTGTTTGTCCTCCCCCCCCCCCCCCCCCCCAAAAAAAAAAAACCCAATTAACTATCGATCAAGGGAAAATTCGAGATAAAATACCTGAGTGGTATGGCTGGATGACTTCGGCAAGACAAAAAGGCAGACCTGATTCACATATATGTGAGCTAGAAATCTATGACCGCTTATGCTGATTGACATGGCACATGATGGTGTGGTCAACCTCTTAATATCTATATCTTCTTTATGGCATTGAGGACTCATGAGGCAGATTCAGGTGATCTCTATTACCGTCAGTCTGTGCCTGTCTACCCATGATATCTCACACACTCTTTTATTTCCCTTTCTGATGCTCTGCAGCTTTTCTGAGGTTGTCCATGTATTTTTGCCAGGTATCTCGAGATATTCTGCAAATGTGTCCAAGCACTGTACATCTTGTTTGACCAGATTTTTCTGTGTGCAGGAGTCTCCTGTGACATTTATTGTTGAAAAGTATAAAGTCTGCAGGTAATGCCTTATGTTATTTTTTCAACAGTGACTTTTGTAAATGGTGTCTATTTGGAAATAACACCTAACCCGAAATAGACCCTGGCGTGCACATGCACGTGCGTGCGCGCGCGCGCGCGCACACACACACACACACACACACACACACACACACACACACACACACACACAAGATTCTCATAATCTAAGTCTACTTCAGACACCTGTGTGAATTCTGTGTCCTGTAAAACACACTGCGACCTTTTGTATTGTAAAGTAATGAATGTATAAAGTAGTAACATTATTGATAATAATGCTTTAAATAAATGATAATATAAATGTAAATTTGTTTGCGTGAAAATATAAAACAGCACCTAAAGTAAACCTTAAGTTGTCCTTTGGAGAGAACATTGGGCCCCGGTCTTCATTTTGGGGAAACATGATCTACTCCCAGCTTGTGTAACAACCTCTGCATTGAAAATGTTTATGATCAGACTTCCTAACTCCATAATTTAAAAAAAATAATTTTTGTTTGCAGGGCTTTTTCCGGCGAAGTCAGTCAGGGCCAGTAAATTATCAGTGTCCCAGAAACAAGAACTGTGTGATTGACAGAGTGAATCGGAATCGGTGCCAGTACTGTCGGTTGCAGAGATGCATGGCTTTAGGAATGTCCAGAGATGGTAGGGAATTTGTTTGCTTTTTGCTGGCTGATTATGGTGTTTTCTGCAGTGTTTAGGTTTGATCCCAGAGGCAGGATTATTTGTTTTATGATCTGTATGGCTTTGAAGGTTAGAGGTTAGTGAAATAAATTTAGCAGTTGCATGATCGTTTGTGGTTTAAATTTCTCAGCTGATGGTTTATTTAGTTTTAAAAATAAACTTTCTCATGGTCTTCACTGGGATTGCCTAAAAGTCACACTGTGGAAGAATTAAGGGGTTAACCAAGTAATATTCCCCAAGACAATACAGGCAACCAACTTTCTTTGAATGAATAAATGAATTGAAATAACAGCATTTGGGACATTCCCACACGTGCTTCATCCCCTTCTTCAGTAGCCAGCAAAGAGGTGACGAGCTGATAGTACCAGTTGTAACCTGATTAAAAGTCTACCTCTGCTTCCTCTTCAATGTTGAATATCTTCCAAAACCTCTACACACTCCCCGTTAAATCAGTGTGTGGATTCTCTTTCTGTTCATTTGCACTGTCCATTTGATCCCATAGAAGGCCTTCACCACATCAGCTTTATCTTTTAGTAGCTCACTGCCCAGAGGAGCGGTGGCAGCTAATCTATCAGCCTGCTTGTTACCTCACACACCTGAATATCAGGGCCAGAAAATCCATAATATGCTCTGGATCTGGGTCTTATCAAGTGATGCAAGCCACTCTGCACGCAGGACACCAGTTTAAATTTTACGAAGTATGCCCTGTGAGTCAGTTACAGTTACAACATGTCAGACTGTGCTGATCTCAAGCCATTGGAAAGCTGTGGTTACTACCTCCACCTCCATTCTCATACTGGATGTAGTGACATTTTACATGACACTCTCATTATAGATTTAAGTAAGATTTTCATTGTAGAGAGGGCACATTATTATTTTGTTGCAGCAATGTTGCTGACCCAGTCTCTTAAAAAATGGTTGACTGCGTAGTCCACAGAACTCCCATTATCTGTGAAACTATAAATCTAGCATTATGTACCACTGGTGGGGAGGGGGGGGGGGAGAGGAGGGTGCCTTTACGTCTTATTCTTACCCTGACATTTTAAATAAAGTGGACACAAACAGTATAGTACAAATCAGCGTGTCATGAAGCACACACAAACCTTAATACACTCCACTCAAATGAATATTGTCTCTCTTGATACGTTGTCAGAGAAGTTCAAAATAGTCATAATAGTCACCAGGGTAACTTCAAATTTATAATGAATTCCTTCTGTTTACATAAGGTGAATAGATCATTTTTATTATTAAATCTTCATCTAGAATTATACCTGGCAATAAACTGCATTTTATAGTTTTTTCCCCACATTATTTAAATTCACTGTATGAAGAAGGTTTTTTGATCATTTTATTTGCATTCCACAGCGGTCAAATTTGGTCGCATGTCAAAGAAGCAGCGTGAGAAAGTGGAAGATGAGGCAAACATGGTTAAAGCCAGTCGATTAAATGGGTGAGTTTCTGTTGCTATTGGCACTGTGTGTCCCTGGTGAGTTGTTGTGTGCTGGTTGTAATTTTGGTTTTCATGTTTATTTTGTTTCATTTATTTATTAAAATTTTTGGGTGTATATTGAATGCCTTCATAAAAGTTCACAAGCTAGTGGTTCTACACCCCCCCCCCCCTTTCCCCCTTTCCCCCTTTCCAATTGCTTTTTTTTTTTTTTTTTTTTTTTAAAAATTAAGGCAATGTTCAAATTCATTATTTTGATATGTGGTTGTAAGATATAAGATAAAATGCGTCTGCTGTGAGAGTTTAGTAGGCTGAATGAATGTAAGATGGGCCTGCACGACCAATTTGTGATCTTTTAAAAATAAGTTGTTTGTCCTTTCTTTTTCTCTCTTCCTCCCCTCTCTGTCAGAAGTGTATTTATCATCATCACCCAACAAATGTGACTCCTATTTAGGTTTATTTTATAGTTATTACCTAACTAGCTTGTTTATATCTAATTAACATTCATTATTTGAATAAAAGGCAGTGCAGGTTTCTAGTTTATTCTCTTATTTAATGAATGTCAGTTTAAAGGATGCTAATTCATACTGTTGCTTAACTGTTATACCCTAAAGTATTCTAATTAACGTTGTTTTACATTTTTGCCTTACCTGATTCTAATTAATTTTGTTTAGCGATCGTACCTTTCAGGTTTCTGTTTAATTTTGTTCAACATTTGTTCCCTACAGGATGGTATTTAATTCATTTGACGTTTCTACCTTTGTAGGTTAAATCAGGCACAGTTCACCACTTATCAAACCAATGGTTACAACTTTCAACCACAGCAGCAACAGCAGCAGCAGCAACAGATCCAGCAACAACAACAACCGCAGCAGGAGAGCCAGTTTCTGACAGAGAGCCAGCTCTATTCCCCTAACTCCAGTATTCAGCCAGTGCCCCATCCTGTCAGCCTTCTCAGAGCCGTGGAGTTTAACCCAAGTAAGTTGTCTCCTAAATGTAACTAGAAGAGACAGAATCAAGAAAAAAGTTGGGATAGGACCTTTGTTTGTTTGTTTGTTTATTCAGCGGATCAACATCATGGCACATGGATGTAACCCATAAGTGCTCGGTTCTTCTTCCAACTCAATCCTGAGTCCGAAGAATCTCAGCGCAGTGCACAGGCTCTGTAGCACAGGCGAGGATAATGAAATACTTTGGGTAGATTTTTAACTCAAAATTTTGCCCGGGTAGCGCCGTTAGGCTACTCTTTTCAACTTCCAACTGCTAAGGGATTTTTACGTGCGCAACAATACATACATGCGTCTGATCTTTACTACTCAAACACCAGGTAAAATTATAATAGTCCACGTGAAAAAATCCCAGCCTTCACTGGGGCTTAAACCCGGGACCTCTAGCCCAGAGACCACGCAGCCCACTTGTTTAACTACATCAAGAAACAAATGGTTTGTATCAAGGCTACCACCGGGAGCCCTGCCACTCAGACATAATGGAAGCGGTTGACCACACAAGTGATGGATAGATGGAATATCTGAGGCCATAAATAGCATCTACATAGTACATACCAAGGTTCTCACCTGATGCCTCTTTAAAATCTGATGCTGAAAGGCAGTACAGGACCAGAGAAGAAGTAGTATAGTTATTTTGTGGAAGCTAACAGGAAGCAGCTCTGTAACCTAGACGAGGCTTTAAACAGTTTTCAATTTGTCAAGTGCTAGGTTCAGTTTCTGCAGTGGATAAAAAGAATACGTATGTATATTTAAAGTTTATTGTGGCTGCCACATGATAGTATGAGAGTCACACTCTAGCAGAGGTTGGTGTTGGTTCCTCACCACATATTATTCCCAGAGGTAACAGTGCATAGCCAACCTTCATTATGGAGACAGTGAAATATTTCTTTTTCTTCCTAATAGGAGGCAATGAATTATAGCAATGTGCTGTAGAAAACACACAATTAATCACATAAGGCACCACCAGTTCTGTGGTAAAGGGCCACTTGCCATTTTCATCATCTATAATTCACAACACAAGCCACTTAGGGCAAAGTCAAGAAGCATTTTAAAAGAAATCTGCAGCTCACTGTGTCGGGCCATGCATTCAACCGAGTAGCTGGTCTACTTATAGAGGAAACTGCAATGGCCAGCTATTTTAAGAAGCAAAATTTGCCATGACTAAAAGTAGTGATTTGCCTATCCTTCATATTGACCGGCAGTGCCTCTTGATATCAGCTTCAACACAAGTCACCACTATTTTTGACAATTATTGCTGGGATTGGTTTGCAAAATTCTGCGAAAGATATGCAACAAACTTTATTAAAACACGGCTATCTAGAATAGGTTCTATCCTAATGATTAAGTCATGGTCATGATTCTGTGAATACAGCACAGCTAAAATATATCTTTGTGACTAAGTTGTAACCATGATACAGTGAATACAGCATGGCTCTCTTTCCTGCACAGTCAACCTTGGCAAGGCCATCACAGAGGCCCACCTGCGGACATGTTTATACAGCAACGAACAGATAGAAATTTTCAAGCGCCAGATATTGCCCCAGGAGCAAGTCGAGATTTATAAAAATCTAGTAAGTTTTGCTTGACTTGATTTTCTGCCTCTTGTAATAAACTTTTAGTTACTGTTGTTTGGAACCACTTTAATTCTTTTTCTTATTATTTTACTTCGTTTTATATGTGTCCAGTGTGCTTCTTTGCTTTCTTCATCTTTTTATGTTTGTTGTTGATATTCTGCCTTTCTACTTCCAGTCTTGTATAGCCATGTTCAAGATTGCTTGGATTCTTCTTTCTTCTGTTCTGTAGTGTTGTTCTACCTTTCAGCATCAGCTTTTAAAGAGGCATCTGGTGCGATCCTTGGTATAGCCCGGTGGCTCTCAACCTTCCTAGTGCCACGACCCTTTCATACAGTTCCCCCATGTTGTTGCGACCCCCAAACAATTATTTTTCTTTCATAACTTCAGTGAATATGTGTTTTCCCCGATGGCCTGTGGCGACCCCTGTGAAATGTGTCATTCGATCCCCCAAAAAAGGGTCACGACCGGCAGTTTGAAAACCTCTGGTGTAGGCTGTGTAGATGCTGGCATTCACAGCCTCAGATAATCCATTTGTTCAAAACTTAAGTCTGGTACTACGTGCCTAGGGCATCATTAATGTGAACAGGTCCTTTACTATTATTTCATATTCTTTTTTGGCCTCTGCATATATTGATATCTTTTTTCACTTCTTTTGATTTGATGTTGCTGCAGTCTGGTCCAGGCTGCTGATTTATATTATCTGATGCAGCTCCACAAGGGTTACAATGCTGGACTCTCGCAGGAGATCGGCTTCAGTCATCAGTAACCAATGAAGATTTTTCCTTGTCAGCAAGGGGGAAGGGATTACGATTTTAACCTGCGCAGTTGGTGATGACTACACCAGGTATGGCATCTTAATTCCTTAAGTTGACAGGCCTCACCCCTTCTACAAGTGGTGAACACAGGAGGTAAACACAATGACTTTACAATTATGGTGCGTCTCGTTGGGGGTTTCTATGTATTGCATTGATGGCTGTGTGCCATGCCTAATGAAACATCTCATGTGTGGTATCTAACAGACACATCGCCAGCTCTGGGTGGAGATAGCAGACAAGATCACCTTGGCTGTCCAGCAGATTATAGAGTTCGCCAAAATGATTCCAGGATTCATGGAGCTTTCTCAGGATGATCAGATCATGTTGCTGAAAGCTGGTAAGTGGATGATGAACTCTTAGAGCAGAGAGCAGGGGCCAGAGATGTTCACACTGGGAAATTATCTGGTCTGACCCTGCAGACCATGAAGTTGTCAGCTTGGCCTTTCCAAGGAAACTGCAAATATTTCATCAGTTAGAGCTAATTTGCGTCGATAATTTTGTGCGGTCATTACTCACTATTAATTACTGTAATTATGAGGGCAAATAGACTGGAGGGAGAGTAAATAGAGAGAATGGTAGATAGAAGACAGACAAAAACTGCATGCACAGAAGTGCTGACCATGAAATAGATCAAGAAGAAGATGGAGAGATAACATTCAGACAGACATATAAATCCTTTGAGTCACCGACCGGAAAGTCAGTCACAGGGATAAATGGACACCGTGGTATCAACAGCAAATAGGCTTAAGGGCTAGGAAAACGAAGAATTATTATTTTGTAACAGAGTATGGGTTGTTTAAAAAAAAAAAAAAACATAAAGAAATCCCCCCCCCCCCCAACCCACATTTTTGTATATTTTATTATAGTTATAATCTAGATATTTTTTATATAACATATTTGTCATGTGGCTTAAGGGATATGAGTGGAATTTCAGACTTCCAACATCCACACTAAAATTTAACTGCAGCAATTTTGTATCAGACTGCTTTGCATTGATTTTGACAGTGGTATGATTGTCTACCAATCAGTGAGACTGGTAAACCAAACATTAGCTGGAACAACCACAAAGAGCCCACCAAACACTGAGCTTGGTATGCAACATCCTAAAAAAGGATACACAGCTTTCTTTTCAGTATTGTGTATAAAAAGATAAAAAATATATGTAATATCAATGGCCAAATTCAGCTAAGTGCAGTTACGGTTTTTTCCATCAAATTAGGTCTTCAGGGCTGTAATTTGTCACATTTTACAACACGGCCATTCTACTGAGTCTATTCAGAGATCACAATGTTGGGAAATAGGGATGGTCAGAGGCACCAGCCCGGCATGGAAAGATCATTAGCACATTACATTTGGCAGGTGATCCAAGGGCCTGTTGCTAGGCCTCTGCGGCCCAGATTTGGCCTGCGGGCAGCCAGTTGAATAGCCCTGCTCTGCAGTATGCCAAGGGCACACTTGTGAATTCTTACTCTTAATGGTTCATCCAGCTACACAATATTCAGTTGCCATATAAGACTGAAAACCTCATTAACTGGGATTTGGATTTGCTTAACCCTTTCAGTACCGAACATTTGTTACCTTAACTCATTCTGTCTGAAGCAATCTGTACTTGAAAGTAAAAAATGCTGTATGCAAACATATTAGTAACTATTGTACTAAAAGTTTTAGCAGCAACTGAGATGGAGTGCAGTTATATAAAAGCTACACGACACAAAGGGAGTGTAGAAATTACATGTCAGGTATGGAATTACCAGTAAAAAAGTTAAAACAATCGGTTAACATGAACAGAATTTCTGCCTCTGCAGTGATGTATTATCGTTATTAGTCCCCAGGTTAGCACACATTTGTTTCTATTTCACGAACTGGATCTTTGGTCTAGAATTCCTGTTAACGAGGTCTTACTGTACTTGTAAACTGAGATTAGAAAGAGTTCTAAGAGTTGTTGATAGTCAGTCCTGGTGCATAGAAGAGGGTCACAGACAGTCATCAGATGTAGTGAGGAATTATGAGGAGGTTGCCGAGATGTGGTCTTAGAGAAGAATGATGCAATCAATAACAGACAACAAGTATAATGTCTTGAGAGAAATAAACTCGCAGAAAACAATTGCCACAATAACTCATTTTTCCCATCTCACGCCACCACCAAATAAATAGTCTGCTGATGCAGAAAATCAGTCTGTTCAATAGTTAATTTTTTTTTCAAGACCACTTCATGACACTTTTTTCTGTCTATCCATAGATTTATTATCATTCTTCTATAAAACTACATTTGTACATCTGCACAGCATCCGCATAATTTCTCCCTAATTGACACTGATTTACTTCCATACATCAAAATTGGCCCTGCAAAGCTCTTAAGAACTCTCATTCTCACCTCAGTTTACAAAGATTAAAATTCCAAAGAATCATTGCACAGGGTGTATCTCCTATGACATGGTCTCTTTCTGCAGAACAGCTAGCCATCTACCAAGAGCATCATGCAGAGCATGAATTCCATAGCTCTAGTGATGATCTCCGGAGATCGCCATAAAAACTGCACCTGTGAACCAAATGAGACATTCACGGAACAAACCCATAACTTTCAGAGATGCAAACTGCTTCAGTGCAGAGACAGAAAGATTGCACAGAATATTCTTCATCCTTTAAAATACTGTTGTTTAAGCTAATTGTGAATTTTTTAACTTCTTTAACACTTTCAGTAACAGAGGACAGTAAATTTTTTGTAAATCCTTGGTACTGAACGAGTTAAGGGTGTCTTCCATCTGCTGTTACCAGGGTATCTGAGTACTTTAACATAGGTTCTCCTAGCTATAGTTGCAAATTCTCCTGCCTCCAGGGCTGTGGAGTAGAACTGGACAGCTCAAACATAGCTTCTCATAGACGAGACAATGAATCACAGTCACTAAAAAACATGGACCAGACAATTGAATGCATTCAAATAACTTTGCTAAGGAAATTCATGAAATAAAAAACATTAAATGGAATGAATTCAGGAACTGCAAAGAAATAAGAGAAATGTCTAAACATTATCACATATGAACAGTTACAAGATAAAGAAGATGGTGATGTATTGGGCTTATCATGGGGAGAAGCGGATATTCACTAAACAGGCACTGAAATGGGAAAACAGATGGGATTGAGAAAATGAGGACATCCCCAAGAAAAGCTGAGATGAATGTTGTTGAATGAGGACAAAAGCACTAGACTAGATCCCATCTATACCATCGAGAGAATTGCACAGGATGGAAGGAGATGAAGGACTAGACTGCGAACCTGAAACCTAATGTTACAGGATGTTGTTGATGATCTGCTGTGACCAGGGTTCTTGAGTACTTGAACGTAGTTTCTCCTGGCTGTTATTTCAAATGCTCCTACATCTAGAGATATGTCATGGAAATTAGCAGTTGAACCATAGCTTATTTTTTGTATAGACAGGTCTTAGTTAACAGCGTCAATGTTTTTCCCATTTCAGGAAGCTTTGAACTAGCCTTGATGCAGCTGTGCCGTGTGTTTGATGCAGAGTCCAATCGAGTTATCTTTGGGAACATGTTTCTGCCTCTGGAAGCCTTTGCCACTCTTAGTAAGTAATTTGCTGTTTATTTCTATGTCCTTGCCAGGATTGGTGTTATCATTCTCGTGGCCATCCATAAATCCTACTCTGAGTAGTGGCTGAAAAGATTGGTCATTATCATAACAAAAAATGTGCATCGACTGCTACAGGATAATTGAGGTCAATGTTTGTGTGTGCGTGCGTGCATGCATGCATTATGGTAGAAGCAGCAGATAGTGTATTACCAATAATAGGATGAAATTAACATTTCCTTTGTGTGTAGTAGCAAAAAGTGCAAGATCTGCCACCATGGGATGAGTGAGATAAAAACTCTTTTGTGTACAGGAACAAATAGTGCAACATCTGCCATCATGGACGGAATGAGATAAAAGTCTCATATGTGTGAAATAACAAATATTTCAACATTGGCCACCATAGGATGAATGAGATAATAGTCACGTATGTTTGTATAATAGTAGCAAGAAGTGCAACATCTGGCATGGAAAGATAATCATGTAGTCATGTGTCAGGATAATTCAGATTTCTGTAGTAAATTATGGTTTATAACAGTGATCAGGTTTGGTTTATAATTTTTGCAAGAAATTGTCAGTTTTTGTGTGTGTTAATGTATTGTTCAGTCAACAAGCTGTGGTAGTGTAGCAACTACATACTCATTCGCCAGCCTGAAGCTCTGGGATTCAGTTGCACATCTAGGAGGCCAATATTTTCAGAAGTGACATTGTCTCTCAGGTCACCCAGCTTGAAATGGGTACCAGGTAATGTCCTGGGGAGTGTCACATATCACTCCTGTCGCGTGCCTAATGTAAGGATTTCTCCTTCAGAACCAACAGCACTCAGAGATAATTATGTTGAGTCGTTTGGCTCGTATTGGTCTAAGGGATTCCCCGTGGCCAATATACGCTCAACTTATCTCTGGAGTAGGGCAACTCAAGTATTGGCACTACAAAATATATCAGTATATATATACCATATTTCTAGGCACACTTGGCTGGACACCCCCACTACTTACTAAAGAAAGCCCCCAGGTTATGATAGTTCATTATCATAACCATGTTAACACATATAATGAAGATACATACATACACAACTGCTAAACACTTAAAAAGGTGAAATAGAAACACCTAAGTCAGCCATGAAAATGAATGCATGTAATCAATATAAATTAGATCTATAAAAGTGAGACAATTGCCAGATCTCTTAGGCTAGATCTCAGGATATCCTGTCCAAATCACAAAGATACTACACAGACAGAAGGTCTTGGAGATGACATCTTGTCATCACTGGACAATCTAGGAGCTGTGAGGAACACAACATCATTCGAAGCATCAGACTTATCTTCTCTTCTTTCTGTCTATGATGCCTCCCTCAGCTCCGGATGATTCGACTGTCTTTGACTCTGGGAATTCTGCTCCACTGGATCAAGTAGTAAGAGTACTTCACTATATAGGACACCGCAACTGTACCGGTATTTAGCAAGTCTCTATCACCAGTAAGGACACACAATGTCTTTGAGCCACATTAAGCTCTAGCACTGGTAGCTGTTTGAGGTACCATCTCCCACATGTTGGAGATGTCAGGAACCTTCACAGGTGTTAGCTGGTGGGTAACAAGTTGTTTCTGGTGGTTTGATGGTTGGTGGATGTTGGTTGGACTGTGAATCTTCTGCCAGCTCTTCAGAAAATATACATCCCAAGCATATGTAAAAACTGAGACATTCCAAATTGCTTTGAAAAGTGAAATTTATACAGGCACAGATTAACACATTTGGACGCTTGAGAAGCTGGCAAGGAGAATAGCGTCACTTAGACACTTCAGGCGTTGGTACAAAAGAAGTCCCTTGTATACTGGGGCAAGGAGTAAATCGGTTTCCAAGAACCTCAAATAACTCCCTAAATATATCTCCAAGAGATATACATTTAAAAGTGGAGTTTAGTTAAAGTAACCAGAAAAGGCAGACATAATAATGTTGTCCAATACAGGCCTATATATATAGATATAAGGGACTATATATTTCTGGGCGAGTCCAAGTTTGAATTTTGTGCAGATTACAGGTAAGACAGGTTATCAGCCTTACAGACCGATGCGTAATGGCTATCATTTCACGACAGTACCCCCCCCCCCCCAAAGGGAAGAGCGTACTACGCGAATGAAAAATGATCAGCCATTTACACATCTATGGACTCACTACTTTCAGCTTGCTCATCACCTTCAGTCTGTGAATTATCAGACAAGGGATGGCGGCTCAAGAAATCTGCTCTGAATCAAAGGGTTGACCAAACCAACCTTTCAGAGACAGATGAAATATATACATTAATGACAATTCATGTGAAAATAGAGAAACCTATGACCACTATACAATACTACTCAACAAGGAATCTATATAGAATCAGTCGATGGCCCTGAAGACCTAAGACTGATGACTCCATCCATGTATCACTGATCCCTGCCAGGTACATGCAAAGATGTAGGTTCAGACCGAACCCCCCGATCGGGTTGGCTGAATAAACCTACACACCATCCTGGTACTCCTGTCATATTCAGGAAATATACCGGTGTGTCTCCTACATCATTAGTCACACAGGAAGGTCGTCGAGGCCTGTGGGATATAATCCCTCCCGTCTGATCCTTCGCGAGGTTCGGAAGGATAATCCTCCCCTCGTCACTATGTGCTCCAACAAACACAGGAAGGAACCCTGGTGTGAATTGAAAATTCTTCACCTTCTGGTCCTCCTGATGGTCTGGAGGTTTACTCCATTCCTCTTTAAAAAGAGGAGCTTGCACAGGGCATTGACTGAAAGGCTCAACAGGAACCAATGTCGTATCATACTCCAATAATGAAGTTTGCCCTGGCTTAACTCTCAGGACAGAGTTATACTCTGACAAGAGTTGTCCTATAGCTTGTTTCTGAGAGACAGAGAGAGTTGGGTTAACCTCTACATCTTTATAGGTCTCCCTGGGGTGAAGAGGATATTCCACAGCTGTGGCTTCTCCACCTTCCACCTCCATAGCTACAGAAAGTGTCAAGAGGGTCGTTGTGTCATTTACCTCTCTCTCGTTGTATTTCCGGAGGAGATTAATGTGACTTACCTTTAATGTTGATCTTATAATGGATCCTGGATATCTTCTCTACCACCGTATAAGGGCCTCCCCAAGCTAACTCTAACTTAGACTTCCCTGATGGTAGCAGCAAAAGAACCCTATCTCCAACCTCAAGACATCGTTCCTTCGTCTTCCGGTTGAAATGTGCAGCGTACCTCTTACGTGCACGAATCAAGTTCTCTTTGGCCAGGTCCCACCCTAGCTTTAACCTTTCCTTGAGTTCCTGCACATACTGTGATATGGTTTTCAAGGAATCATCTGCCCCTTCGTCTGTCCATGTCTTCCTGAGAATGGCCAAGGGTCCAGAAATGGGTCTTCCGAACACCAAGGTCGCAGGTGGAAATCCAGTAGAGGCATTGGGTACTTCCCGGTAGGCGAATAGTGCTGCAGACAGATACTCGTCCCACCTCTCTGGCTTTTCCTGGGTTAATCTTCTCAGAAGCGATACCAACGTTCCATTGAACCGCTCATTCTGGCCGTTCGCTTGGGGTCGGTATGGACTGGTGCAGATGTGTTGAGACTTGATTATCTGAAACACTTCCTCCATTAGTTTCCCTTTAAACTGAGATCCATTGTCTGTCAGTATCTGCGAAGGGAATCCCACTCTGGTGAAAATGCTCATCAATGCCTCTGCCACAGTCTTACTGTCAATCCTTCGAAGTGCAACAGCCTCCGGATACCCTGAACAACAGTCGACCAAGGTCAATATGTAAGCATTCTTCTTCTTTGTGAGAGGAAGTGGTCCAACCAAATCGACCGCCACCCTTTCAAAAGGTGTGGAGGTGACAGGGGTTTCCCCCAGTCCGACTGGTGCATTCCTGCCTTTGGGAGCTACCTTCTGGCACTCCGGACAGGATTTGACATAACGCATGATATCTGCTGACATACCTGGCCAAAAGTAATGACAGGCAATGCGTTGTGTCGTTGCATGTATTCCCATATGGGCACTATAGGCTATAGTGTGCCCCATCTGGAGAATCTGCTGTCTATATGTTTTGGGTACTACAAGTTGACTGTGCTCTGTATACTTGTCACTTGCCCATCTGTAAAGCAACTTACCTTTCATGAAGAATTCTTTCTTCAAAGGGGGATTGTGACTTGCAGTTAACTTTTTAAAACATGCCTTAAGGGTTGGGTCACTACTTTGGGCCACCTTAATTTCCTCAGGAAGAGGATTTACATGAGGAGAATCCTCTAAGGCACTTTTATGTTGTGCTCGGGTGGTCACCGCAGCAAGATGCTCTGAAGGTTTCTTCGGCTCTGCTAAAAATACATAAGTAGCGCCAAGAATTAAATCAAAGGTACAGTGTTCGAGCACTGCAGCTTCAATTACCCCCGAGACATACTTTGAACGGACCTTAATCTTAGCAATAGGCAACTTTAAAGGTTTAGCATCCAATGTGGCACATTGGAGCTCTATGAATCTGCCAGTATACTGATCAGGTTTTACAAACTCTGGCCTCACCACACAGCCGTATGACAAACCACTATCATACAGACAATTTAGAGAATATCCATTAGCCCAAACCCTCTCTACCACAGGAGACCTATTGGAACCATTGTACAATTGTTCCTGAGTAGAAGGTACTACAGTAGACAACAAAGCTGATACTTGTAAATTCCCTGACTGTTTGGATTTACATTCCTTAGTCCAGTGGTTATTATTCTTACAAATATGGCAGTAAGGCTTTTTAGGGCCATTAAAGGGTTGTCTATGTTGTGTTCCCTGAACTTTTGAGGGGTTCTGGGGTTGTGCTTGGGATGAATTCTTTTTAGGGGATTCATTTGGATGGGTTTTATGACCATTACCATTATTTTTCCCTTGGCCCTGGGCCTTGGGTTTCCCACCTATACACACTTCTTTATGTGCCATCTCATACCTCTCAGCATACATCAACATCTCACTCAGTCTGTCAGCACCATTCTCCGTCAGGAAGGTTTGCATAGGGCGAGGTAATGTCTCTCGGAGTTGTTCCGTTAGGATCATCTCCTGTAAATCTTCAAAAGAAGAGGAGTATCCAGACATTTCCCTCCACCTGGTCAAATATCCCTGAAGGCGACTGGCGAACTGAGGATAGTTCTCCCCTGTCATCTTTCTCTCATTTCTGAACTTCTGTCTGTATGTCGCAGCATTAAGTTCGAAACGTTTCAGTAAAGCCTGACACAATGCATCATAATCAGTCTCAGTACCGGTGGGCATCCGTTGATAAATCTCGTATGCCTCACCCCTCAAACCTTGAGCCAACTTCAGCGTGTACATATTCCTTTCCAAGTTGTACAAAGATGCCAATTTACCAAATCGGTCTAGGTACTGTTCAATATTTTCAGCCTTCGGGTCGAAGACTGGCATAGGAAAGTTCATCGCTTGAGCTGAGCTACTGTGCATTGATGCACCATCAATATCAGGTGTTGGAGATCTGGGTCTATTACCCTCTCTCTGAGCCTGAAGTTCCAATTCTCTTAACCTCACCTCCTGTTCCAACTTCATTCTTTCTGACTCCTGTTCCAATCTCATTCTTTCTGACTCCCTCTCAGACTCAAGTCTGAGTCTCTCAGATTCAATGCGGAGTCTTTCGCTTTCCTTCTCTGCCTCAATTCTGAGTCTCTCAGCCTCACGGGCTTCCATCCTCATCTCACGTTCCGTGGTTTTAATCCACTCGGTCATTTCTTTACCCTCCAATCCCATCTGGACAGCCATGTCCTTCAATTCCTGTATGGAAATTTTTGACTGCGACATGCTGTCTTGTCAATCTAACAGTCCACAACAAAATATATTGTCACCAACAATGTAAATATAATCAACAATAGATTAAATTATCACCACCAACCAAGGTTGTACCTAACCCAATGTACTTAGACACCACAAAACACCACAATGATTACAAATCACTCCTAGGAGTATACTCTAAGAACTGACCCAGAATGGTCACAACTGTGTTAACAAAAAAACAAACACTGAACAACTCCTGGCCAAGATCACCAGCAAATTTAAAGATTGAACAGTGTACAAAACAATCCCACGACGAGACCACAGATTTTTGGGGATATGTTGTTCTGTCACATATCACTCCTGTCGCGTGCCTAATGTAAGGATTTCTCCTTCAGAACCAACAGCACTCAGAGATAATTATGTTGAGTCGTTTGGCTCGTATTGGTCTAAGGGATTCCCCGTGGCCAATATACGCTCAACTTATCTCTGGAGTAGGGCAACTCAAGTATTGGCACTACAAAATATATCAGTATATATATATACCATATTTCTATTCACACTTGGCTGGACACCCCCACTACTTACTAAAGAAAGCCCCCAGGTTATGATAGTTCATTATCATAACCATGTTAACACATATAATGAAGATACATACATACACAACTGCTAAACACTTAAAAAGGTGAAATAGAAACACCTAAGTCAGCCATGAAAATGAATGCATGTAATCAATATAAAATAGATCTATAAAAGTGAGACAATTGCCAGATCTCCTAGGCTAGATCTCAGGATATCCTGTCCAAATCACAAAGATACTACACAGACAGAAGGTCTTGGAGATGACATCTTGTCATCACTGGACAATCTAGGAGCTGTGAGGAACACAACATCATGCGAAGCATCAGACTTATCTTCTCTTCTTTCTGTCTATGATGCCTCCCTCAGCTCCGGATGATTCGACTGTCTTTGACTCTGGGAATTCTGCTCCACTGGATCAAGTAGTAAGAATACTTCACTATATAGGACACCGCAACTGTACCGGTATTTAGCAAGTCTCTATCACCAGTAAGGACACACAATGTCTTTGAGCCACATTAAGCTCTAGCACTGGTAGCTGTTTGAGGTACCATCTCCCACATGTTGGAGATGTCAGGAACCTTCACAGGTGTTAGCTGGTGGGTAACAAGTTGTTTCTGGTGGTTTGATGGTTGGTGGATGTTGGTTGGACTGTGAATCTTCTGCCAGCTCTTCAGAAAATATACATCCCAAGCATATGTAAAAACTGAGACATTCCAAATTGCTTTGAAAAGTGAAATTTATACAGGCACAGATTAACACATTTGGACGCTTGAGAAGCTGGCAAGGAGAATAGCGTCACTTAGACACTTCAGGCGTTGGTACAAAAGAAGTCCCTTGTATACTGGTGCAAGGAGTAAATCGGTTTCCAAGAACCTCAAATAACTCCCTAAATATATCTCCAAGAGATATACATTTAAAAGTGGAGTTTAGTTAAAGTAACCAGAAAAGGCAGACATAATAATGTTGTCCAATACAGGCCTATATATATAGATATAAGGGACTATATATTTCTGGGCGAGTCCAAGTTTGAATTTTGTGCAGATTACAGGTAAGACAGGTTATCAGCCTTACAGACCGATGCGTAATGGCTATCATTTCACGACAGGGAGTAAAGGCGGTCAGCATGATGTTGACCGCATTACCTGTGAGTGTTAACAAGCACTCGGATCCGATCTTCAGTGTATCCCTCAGCATGTGGCAACTGATAACACCAGTTCTGTGTTGGTTTACTATTCTTCTTTATCGCTTTGTATAGTGTTTATTTCTGGCGACAACTTTTGTTACCTGAAGTTCTCTAGAATGTTGCCGACTCACTGTCATCTCCTGAATCATCTGCGCCTCCTGCCTCTTTGAGAGCATTGAGAATATTGGCCCAGTCCATTGCTTTTCCTGTAATCCTACCAGCAAGCCAGTTCACTCTTTTTTTTTTTAAACACCCTAGAGTGCCCTTGTACAGAAATGAAACTTATTCCTGTCAGACAAGATTTCTTCATCGACTCCAAACATTTTCTGGCATGGTCACCTTTCTGTTAACAATTTTGTTTTCAGCTGACGAAGAATTCCACCTGATGTCTGCCATTTTTGACTTTGTAAAAAATATTCAGCGCCTGAACATCACAGAAAGTGAGATGGCCATGTTGAGTGCCCTTATTTTGATCAGCTCAGGTAAGTGCAGATAAAAATTATTTGGCTTTAACTTCATATCAACACTTTTGCAGGGAGCTGAAATATGGAGAACAGCTGAAACAGTTACTAATAAACTACAGACATAGCAGCATAGATACTATGAAATGTGCAAATTTATAAATGTATTAGGCTCTGCCCCTTAAAAAAAAAGGTGGTTGCTACTTTGTGTTGTAGTTTACTGCCAGGCTGCAGAATGTGCATCTTTCGGCCTAGCATCTGATAATTGCCTTTTAGGGCATGCTTGTCAAAGAGGGCAGTGGGTTTGTCTCCTGCCAACATAGCCTAGGAACCCATACGAGGGAACAACTAGTGCTCTTCTCTGAATGTTGTTGTAATCTATACTAAAAGTTGTCTTTTGATGCATCTCAACTTGCTTGTGTGAGCGTCACTTTCCTCCAAAGCTATTGTGTCTGCATCCATAATAGTGTGTGTGTGTTTTGGACATCACTTTTCTGAAGGTCTAGAGTTTGAATCCACATAGAAGCAGAGTTTGTTTTATAACTGGCGTTGGCTCTCTTTTTGCTCTAGCCTAAAATGGGTACTAGAAAAGTTCCTGGGAAGTGAAAGTGGCCAATATATTGTAGATAACACCATCCATTGAGTGCTAATTTCCTAGTGTGGGTTCTGTGGCCCCATTTTGGGGAAGATAAGACAAAACCCACTGAACCCCTGATAAGTGTGTCTTAAAAGCTGTTGCTTCAGGGTATAGATCACTGAGAGCCAGTGTCAGTTTTTAATAAATTGACCTTCCAGATGCAGGTCTGAACCCTGAATCTTCGGGCCATCAAGTGAGCATCTAGCTGCTATGCTCCCGCGGCTTCCTGATGATATCAGTGCTATGTGCAGCACTTAGAGTGAAGATGATTGCGGCAGAAGGCTTGACTCTGTATCCTTGCCCTGTCTAGACTGATGGACTTATGCAACCTGGAACTGCAAAAAATGAACATTTCACCAAAGTGGACAAGATTTGATTAGTCAATACAGAACAGGCGTCATGAGTCATTTTACAATTCAGAACAGGCATCATGAGTCATTGTACAATACAGAACAGGCGTCGTGAGTCATTTTACAATACAGAACAGGCGTCATGAGTCATTTAACAATACAGAACAGGCGTCATGAGTCATTTTACAATACAGAACAGGCGTCATGAGTCATTTTACAATACAGAACAAGCATCATGAGTCATATTACAATACAGAACAGGCGTCATGAGTCATTTTACAATACAGAACAGGCGTCTTGAGTCATTTTACAATACAGAACAGGCGTCGTGTCATTTTACAATACAGAACAGGCGTCTTGAGTCATTTTACGCATGTAAAAGAGAAAGCGATATGAACGCCTATTGACCTGTCTGGAGTACTGTGATGGTAATCCTCACTAATCAGTTAATTAGGGATGTTTTCAATCAAAGACAAAATGCATCTATCGTGCATTCAAGCAACCGACAGTCTGCATGCAGATAAAACAGATGCGCACTCAAAACTCAAGTTTTGAAACAAGACTCAAGTCTAGAACTGGACAAGCAACCATAATTTCTACCAGAGTTTATCTTTCTTGAACGCTAAGAAGAAAAAGAAGAAGAGTGCTGATCTCCCTGTGAGAATATAGGTCTAGCCTAGCATGCCCCTGTGCGTATGGCTTAAAAATGGTCCCTAACATAATGTGCAAGTTTAGGATTGAATTATAGGGAAACAATAGCAGTGATTTCCCTTATTTGCATTATTTAAAACAAAAATAAGATGGTTTACTTGTTTTCTTTGATGCAGATCGACCTGGAGTAAAAGAGGTTGGTGAGATACAGCAGCTCCACGATCGAATCCTCACTGCCCTGAAGCTGGAGATGGGAATCAACCATGCGGGTGATGAACATATTCTCAAGCGGTTCGTCGAACAGGCGGGCATCCTTCGCTCACTGAGTGCTCGGCACATCCGAGTACTTAATGCATTTAAAGAAGAGGCCCCTGAAATAGAGTTTCCAGCCCTTCATAAGGAATTGTTTTCTATAGAAACAGAGACAATCCTACCCAATTTGCATTGAGACAAAGACGGCACCGTAAGCTGAGAAAACAGTTGACAGTTTTAAAGCAGAAGACTTTAGGGGACACACAACCGTCTGAAATATGAAAACAGTTGCCTGACGTGGAAGGACTACAGTCCATTGTCAGAAAACAGCCCGCAGAAGTCTACAGTTAGAAACCAGTTGTAAGAAAAAGTGACGAGACCACAGCACACAGTGAGGGGACAGTTTACAGTTAGAATGTGACAGCCAACAGCGAGAAATCTCTTGTCACATGTGAATTGACTACGGTGAGAAAACAGGTGTCATAGGTGACAGGACTACAGTGAGAGAGAGAAAAAACTCTTGTCACATGTGAATTCACCAAGAAAACAGGTGTCATAGGTGACAGGACTACAGTGAGAGAGAGAAAAACTCTTGTCACATGTGAATTGACTACGGTGAGAAAACAGGTGTCATAGGTGACAGGACTACAGTGAGAGAGAGAAAAAACTCTTGTCACATGTGAATTCACCAAGAAAACAGGTGTCATAGGTGACAGGACTACAGTGAGAGAGAGAAAAACTCTTGTCACGTGTGAATTGACTACGGTGAGAAAACAGGTGTCATAGGTGACAGGACTACAGTGAGAGAGAGAAAAACTCTTGTCACATGTGAATTGACTACGGTGAGAAAACAGGTGTCATAGGTGACAGGACTACAGTGAGAGAGAGAAAAACTCTTGTCACATGTGAATTGACTACGGTGAGAAAACAGGTGTCATAGGTGACAGGACTACAGTGAGAGAGAGAAAAACTCTTGTCACGTGTGAATTGACTATGGTGAGAAAACAGGTGTCATAGGTGACAGGACTACAGTGAGAGAGAGAAAAACTCTTGTCACGTGTGAATTGACTATGGTGAGAAAACAGGTGTCATAGGTGACAGGACTACAGTGAGAGAGAGAAAAACTCTTGTCACGTGTGAATTGACTATGGTGAGAAAACAGGTGTCATAGGTGACAGGACTACAGTGAGAGAGAGAAAAACTCTTGTCACGTGTGAATTGACTACGGTGAGAAAACAGGTGTCATAGGTGACAGGACTACAGTGAGAGAGAGAAAAACTCTTGTCACATGTGAATTGACTACGGTGAGAAAACAGGTGTCATAGGTGACAGGACTACAGTGAGAGAGAGAAAAACTCTTGTCACATGTGAATTGACTACGGTGAGAAAACAGGTGTCATAGGTGACAGGACTACAGTGAGAGAGAGAAAAACTCTTGTCACATGTGAATTCACCAAGAAAACAGGTGTCATAGGTGACAGGACTGCAGTGAGAGAGAGAAAAACTCTTGTCACATGTGAATTGACTACGGTGAGAAAACAGGTGTCATAGGTGACAGGACTACAGTGAGAGAGAGAAAAACTCTTGTCACATGTGAATTGACTACGGTGAGAAAACAGGTGTCATAGGTGACAGGACTACAGTGAGAGAGAGAAAAACTCTTGTCACATGTGAATTCACCAAGAAAACAGGTGTCATAGGTGACAGGACTACAGTGAGAGAGAGAAAAACTCTTGTCACATGTGAATTCACCAAGAAAACAGGTGTCATAGGTGACAGGACTACAGTGAGAGAGAGAAAAACTCTTGTCACATGTGAATTCACCAAGAAAACAGGTGTCATAGGTGACAGGACTACAGTGAGAAAACTCATGTCACATGTGACTTGGCTACGGTGAGAAAACCGGTGTCATAGAGGTGACAAGACTACAGTGAGAAAACAAGTGTCATTGTGACAGGGCTGCAATGTGAAAACGTTTGCCCTGGGTGACAAGACTACAGTGGAAAAATCAATTTTCACAGATGACAAGACTACTGTGACAAAACACATGTCAAGGTGACAAGACTACAGTGAGAAACCAGATCTCACAAGTGACAAGAATGCAGTGAGAAAAGAGTTGTGACAGGGCTTCAGTGAGAAAACATTTGCCACAGGTGATAAAACACAGTGAGAAAACAGATCTCACAAGTGACAAGAATACAATGAGAAAACAGGTGACAGAGGTGATAAAATTACATTGAGAAAACACGTAACAAAACTACAGTGAGAAAACACATGTCACAGAAATGACAAGTTTATAGCCAACTGTAAGAAAAAACCAGTCACGAGACTACATTGAGAGTAAAGTTTTCACAGGTAACAAGGCTGCAGTCCACAGTAAGAAACCATGTGTCCCATGTGACAAGACTACAGTGAGAAAACATGTCACAAGACTTATTTTGAGAGTATAGTCTTCACAAGTACAGTACAGCCCACAGTGAGAAAACGTGTCACAAGACTACATTGAGAGTATAGTTTTCACAGGTAACAAGGCTACAGCCCACAGTGAGAAAACAGTTGTCCCATGTGACAAGATTACAGTGAGAAAATATGTTGCATTACTTTTTTTGGTTTGTTTTGAGAGTATAGTTTTCACAGGTACAGCCGACAGTGAGAAAACGATTGTCACAGGTGATGAGACAACAGCACATGTTAAGAAAACAAAATCATAGAAAAAAACATCAAGTCTCATATACAGTTATTTGCATATCCTTTACAGGACATTGCAGAACCAACCCCAGTATTGTTTGGCTGTTGTGGTTTTTTTAAGGCAAATTTACATCCAGCAGTTTGCCATTGCTTTCTGGATACCACTATTGAAACCAACAGAGAAAAAAAAAACATTTAGGCTACAGAGGTATGCAGTGAAAGAAGACTATCACACAGTGCAGTTACTTAGCCGACAGTAGGAAACTATAAAGCAGCAAGCTCAAGGTGGAAATTCTACAGTCTGTAAGATAATATCCATTGATCTTGAAACTGATACTATAATCTTCATTTTCTTGGAAGTGTTTGTCATGAAACAAGTACAAGTTACAAAGTCAGCAGTCGTATGTGAGACAGTAGTCTTCATTACTCTTGAGAATGTTTATCATTGAAACAAGCACAAGTCAACATTCTATGAGACAGTAATCTTCAATGAACCAACAATGGTTTATCATGAAAATGAGTACAAGATAGAAATTCAGTACTGAAGATAGAAATTCAGTACTGTCCTCAGACAGTAATCTTCATTGATTGTGAAACGAGCACAAGTTAGAAAGTCATCACACTGTAATGAGACAGTAATCTTTGTTGATCTGGGAACTGTATCCTGAGACAGTAATCTTTTTTTCTTTTTCATCTTGTAATTGTCTATCCTGCTTCCATAATCTTCATTATTTTTGGAACAGGTTATTATAAAAATGAGCATAAGTGAACAGTCACTTCTGATGTAGTAATCTTTGTTGATCTTTAAACGGTGTATCATGAAATTGAGCAGAAGATAGAAATTCAACAGTCTGGCTTCAGAAAATATTTCATTGATGTTGGAACAGTCTGTTCTAAGACAATAATTTTCATTGCCCTTAGAACTGTTAATCATAGAAACAAAATTTTAGTGATGCTTTGGGTTGTATTAAAGTCAGCGCTTTTGATACTTTTTTTAACATTTAAGTTTTTATATATATATATATATATATATATATATATATATATATATATATATATATATATATATATATATATATATATATATATATATATATATATATATATATATATATATATATATATATATATATATATATATATAATATACATACATACATACATACATACACACACACACACACACACATATATATATATATATATATATTGAGTGGAACATAGTAAGAGAGCCATGGTAATACACTGGTTGACGTGCTCGGATACTGGCCCAAAGGTCATGCCCTCATGACCATATTTTATTGGGCTCTCACATGGACCTAGCCCGGAGTAGATTCTGGGAAGTACAGGAGAGCTTGGTATTCACCACACGGCCCATCAAATCTCTATTGGTATATGGGGTGGGGGGGGGGGGGTAATTTGACTCGGCTGCCTCGGATCTATCTAGTTGATCTGCCGTTCAGACTGAGATTGTTAAATCTCATGATGGCATAGTAAAACTTTGGGTAGCATCCTGAAGGGGACAAACTGAGCGAGCCATATACCCAATACTCCCGAAGGTGCAGAAGAGGATCCTTTATTTTTACTTAACAGTACTCTTGGACATCCAGGATGTTTCAGAAATCTCTGTTGCAACTGTTGGTTGTATGTGTGATAGAACATACCAGCTTGGTTGTTGAATAGTGTTGATGTCAGAAACAGTGATGGACAGATGAGAGAAAGACTGGCCATGACTCTTTAAACAAAATGTATTTTTAAACTATTTCTAATGTGAAAATGAAATTATAGTAAAAACTTATAAGTCGTGGGCCAGCTGTATTTTTAATCATATTTGCCTTTGTTTGCAGGCATTTCTGCTAACATTGTCCTTAGCTTACATGCAGCAAATCATCTGGGAGACACTAGATGTTTGCCAGGCTACTGCTGCCTTAAGAAGTACCTCAGTCAATCTGCATTACTGCAGGAGAAAGTCTTTAGGTGTTGTTTTTTCTTTCTGTCAGAAGTAGTATCGCTTGAAATCTGGGTGTGATTTTTTTTTTTTTTTCTGACCTCAGAGATAGATTTGTAAAAGTTTGTTTGCCAGAAGATGTTGCTTGAACTCGGGGTGTGATTTTTTTTCTGACCTCAGAAATAGATTTGTAACAGTCTGTTTGCCAGAAGATGTTGCTTGAACTCGGGGTGTGATTTTTTTTTTCTGACCACAGAAATAGATTTGTAAAAGTTTGTTTGCCAGAAGATGTTGCTTGAACTCGGGGTGTGATTTTTTTTTTCTGACCTCAGAGATAGATTTGTAAAAGTTTGTTTGCCAGAAGATGTTGCTTGAACTCGGGGTGTGATTTTTTTTCTGACCTCAGAAATAGATTTGTAACAGTCTGTTTGCCAGAAGATGTTGCTTGAACTCGGGGTGTTATTTTTTTTTTCTGACCTCAGAGATAGATTTGTAAAAGTTTGTTTGCCAGAAGATGTTGCTTGAACTCGGGGTGTAATTTTTTTTCTGACCTCAGAAAT